AGTCAAAGCAGTCTTTCTTGAAATGTCCTAACTTTCCACAGTGATAACATTTCTTACCGCTTTTATCTTTAGATTTGGATCTCATTTTAGATTTTCCTCTCCCCTTCTTGTTATGGAAGTTGAATTCTTTCTTTTCAGATCTTCCCCTAACAAATAGACTCTCTTCACGAGAATGAATTCTGTTCTCTCTTTTTAATTCAAGTTCTCTTGATTTTAAAGCATTAGAAACAATCATACTTTATGGCATTTTTCATTTCTCTGTAAGATTCGGGCAAAGAGTTTAGCAATATGACAGCTAAATCCTCATCATCAAATGTTTTATCATTATGAGCTAGACTCTTAACAATTATGCTAAAGTCACTCAAATTCCCCTCGACATCCTTCCCCAGGTCTATCTTAAAACTAAACAACTTCTCCAATAGGTATATTTTGTTAGGTAAAGTTTTAGTTAAGAACAGGGCATCTAAAGCAATCCACAAAGCTCTAGCAGTTTTAGCACTATCAACTTGTCTCACAATATTGTCAGATAGATGCAAAATTATATAACTGTAAGCAATTTCATTCATGTCTTCAATTTCAGTTGTTTTAGCTTTTAACTCATCAGAAAATGTAGCGGGATCATCAAGAGCTTTAGCAACTCTCTGTTGGACCAAAATGGCCCTCATTTTCTGTTTCCATATCGAGTAATCCCCCTTTCCATCGAATTGCGATAATTCGACCCTCGAACCTATTATAAATTTTATAAAAGAGTGGCCTGTACTCGTAGACACAACAAAAAAGGTTTTGAAAAATTCTTTTCCAGATGATCAATATAAAACTGAGTACCGAGTTCAAAAAAAATTTTAGAAATGAAGCACAACAGTGAAATAATCCGTTCACGAAACACAGGTATATAAAGCAGGTAAATATGCTTCCAGGTTACAAATTAATCACAAGAATTCAATCAACAGAATTCACAAATAAGCAACCAAGCAATAACCATGCATAAACCGATAAGGATACCAAACCTAACCTAACAGAGAGTTTGGAATAATCTTACTAAACTACTGTTGACAAACAGTAAATATACCACCAAGTTTCTGAACCAAATTGCCGTAGAAGTCAAGGTAGGGGCAAAATCGTCCAACTTTTTCTGTAAAATCTGAAACAAAAAACAAACGACATCAGTGCGTTCAGGACGTCAAAATGAGTAAACTGCCCGAAAAAAGCTCGCCGGAGGTCCGGCCACGCGCCGCCGCCGGTCACGCGCCCCACCACAGGGTGCGCCTCCTCCTGCTGGTCATGGTTCCATGGTCCATTTCACCGGAAAGTCAATCAGTTGGCCGAAAATCAAGTTTTTCAGATTCGGTTAGAATGTGGAAATGGTGATTTCTTGCTGGTTTTTGATCGATTTTTGGACTAATATCACTCCTCCTAGCTCTGATACCAGTTTGTTGGGGATTCTAGGAGTTCAATCAACCAAAACAACAATCAACAAACAAGATTCAAGTCAAAAACAAGAAAAAACGGGAATGGAAAAATACAACCCCTTCTTCTGCCGATTTCTGTCCAGCTTCTTCTTCTTCGTTTCAGCAGCTTCTTCTTGGATTTATGGGTGTTTTTCCAGGCTCAGGAACAGCCCCATGCTATGCCAATTGCCTTCCAAAGAGAGAGGGGAAAAAACCAATGAAGAACCTATGAAAAACCGAGAGCTCCTCTTTTCTGCTGGGATGAAAGAGACCGAGAGCTGCCCTTTTATTTGAAATGGTAGAGAGTCCATATGAAGGAGAAGGAAGGAAGACCATGCCTTTGCCAAAACGTGGGAAGACCTTATTGTGTCAACCTCACTCCCATCAACTCACAACATTAGGTGGTGGGGTTAGGTGAACCATATCCTCACACCCTCATTTCAGGAAGTGAAGTGATATTATGGCACCCATGCACTAATATACGCTGTAAAGATCCCATCCCACTCAATTCAGGAAGCGAAGTGAGATTCGGGCATCCCCACACAGATAGATGTTGTAGAGACGTACAACACTCTAGCATTTCATTTGGTAGGTTGCTCAATTCATAGCAAGTACGAATTTTCAATCTCTGAAGAGAAGAGAGGCCTTTTTGTCCATTTTGATATGGAATTAATTGCAGATTTCTACAATTAGATATTTCCAATGTCTCAAGAGACTTGAGGCTGCCTAGGTTGTAGGGTAATTCCCTCAATTCTTCACAATGCGAAATTTCCATCAATTTAAGAGAAGCTCTGCTGCCCCGCAAGTGGGGAACATGACTCAACTTTTCACACTGAGATAACTTCAAATATTCAAGGCAAGGAAATACCTGCATTCTGCTCATTTGTGCTTCTTTCCACTGTGTTAGGTTCGACATTTCCTCTATTGTGAGACTTATAAGTGATGGGAATGATGCTATTGTCTCCTGGCCATTGTTGTTGGTGGTTGAGTTGCAATCACTATCTCCATAGAATGATGGTCTTATCGATGTTACGCTGCTCAGACGGTAGAACCTTAGATATTTGAGAAGTGGTAGGTGGCCGAGCATTGGGATTTCTTCGCATTTGTGACAATTTTTAAATTCGATCTTGATCAATTTATCAAATGCCACCCGAGGGCCACGGATGCCTTTATATATTTCCATATTTTTAGTCCACGATGGGAAGTTTTTACATCGGAATCCTTCAATTGTTAGGCCTTTTAGATTTTCATGAGGTTGGAGCCCTTCAAGTACACTCTCATCGTTCATGTTACTTTCTGTTTCATTCATGTATCTGGTGTTTTCTTCCATCCAATGAAAGTGTAACTCATATATGTTTAGCTTTCCAGATATATCTGCTTTCTCAGCTTCTGTTTTGTCCCTCACCAATTGTAGATTCTGTATTCGTAGTCTGCCCTTAAGATTCTTCAACTCTCCTAGCTCATCGATTCGACAACCTTCCTTGTTGCTCACACAAAATAATGGTAATGTTTGAAGACGAGATAATCTTCTGATTTTAGGTGGCATCTCGAAATGATTGTCAACACATAATCTTCTATTTTCATGCCGCATCTTGGTAAAATCGTCATCATAACCAAAATTGAGATGCCTCAAATGAGTCAAAAATTGCATATCCTAAGGAAGCTGTTTAAGGAAACAGCTAAGAATCCTTATGGTTTGCAAATTGTAGAGCTTGCAAACAGATTCTGGCAAAGTAGTTAGATAACCATTTTTTGACACATCAAGATATCTCAATTGTTTCAACTTGCCAATTGAGGTTGGCAATTCTTCAATATTTGCACCACATAGCTTTAGAACATGCAAGTGCTTGAAATACAACGAAATTTCATCTGGTACACTGCTTGTCAAGAACAATGTGTGGAGATAACTTGCTTTCTTTTTTATGTCCTGTGTTCCCTCACCAATTGATTTTGTTGCAAGGTGTCTAACCTGAAGAATATCATCAGCAGAGCAACCCTCCATATTAACGAAACTTTCTGATTTTGAAACCAAGCATGCAAGATCATGGACAAGATCGTGCATCTTGCAGCTCATGATATTGCCATACTCATCCTTTTCGGGCTCTTGGAAGAAGAAATTTTGCAGCAAATTATTAAAAAATGTATTGCCTATAGTCTCCATGTCACTTACTGGACTATTCAGAAGAAATCCTTCCGCCATCCAGAGATGGATTAAGTCTTCCCTATTTATGACCAAAATCTTGATAAATAATGAACAATAGACAAAACATTTTCTCACTAATGAAGAAGATAAGCGATCATAGCTTACCTTTAGGACTTGCAAAACACCATTCTCACCCTCTTCAAGATTTGAAAGCCCAATCTGTAGAATTGAGAGCCACTCTTCTCTTTCTTTTCCTTGTAAAACTTTTCCCACCATATTTGCTGCTAAAGGTAGATCTCTACATTTGCCAGCAATCACCTTACCAGTAATCTCAAATTGTTTTGGCACTTCTTTATCTTGAAATGCCCTTGCTCTGATTATTGACCAGCATTCATCATCTGTTAATGACCTCAAGCTGTATGGACGATTGCAAGTGTTCACAATCAATGCCACCATTTCTTTTCGTGTGGTGACGATAATGACATTTCCTGTGTTGGAGCTAACTCCGACTATAGTATTCTTGAAATCATCCCAATCTTCTGTTACTTAATTCCATAAATCATCGAGAATAATCAAGTATCTTTTTTCTTTTAATTCGTCTTGAATCTTTTGAACAACAGCTTCCTTGCTAGCTCCACCGAAATCTTTGTCTAATAATAACTCCAGGATCCTTTTAAAAAGTGTCATCTGATCAAAGTTTTTTGATACACAAACCCAAATTCTTTTGTCGAAGTGGTTTTGTGTTTGAGGGTGATTGAAAATCTTGCGTGCTAAAGTTGTCTTGCCAATTCCTCCCATTCCGACTATGGGAAGGACTGAAAGGACATTGTTGATTGACCTGGTTATAGTCTCCAGAATTTCTGATTCATCACTTTCTCTTCCAATGACAATTGGATCAACAGTTACGCTGGTAGTGTCAATGACCGGAGGCTGTGCACGAGGATAATCTGTAACTCTCTTGAGGCAAAGTTTATCAGCTTCATTGTTTATCCTTATAAAATTGGCATTTATGTCCTTGATTTTGTGAGCCATCTTCCATTGAAATGCCAAAGTGATATTAGTATAGAATGCTAAGTTTAAGCACCCCTTCGGCTTTATTGTACGACGCAAATGTTCATAGTCGATCTCATCCAAAACATTGTAGGAGTAATATGCAGCATCTTCAAGTTCCTTGAGCCAGCTTTTAACAGCATTGTCGGTGATTTCGCGCATCGCAGCATCTTCCAGGACTTCGTTGAGCAATTTCAAGTATTTTTTCAGATTTTCAAATTCTTTCTTGAAACCCCACACCAGTCTGATTTCTTCAGAGGCTACCGCAAACAATTTCTCCAACAATTTCTCCAGTATAAGTTTTACAGGTTCAGTAGCCACAGCTTCCATTTTTTCTTGCTTTGGAAATTTGAAGTGTGTGATTGATTGATTCCAGGTGATGGATTTTAACCAAAAGAGAAAGAGCAAGATGGAGATCAAAAAACCAGAAAAATCTATTCAAACTTTTATCCACTTGGTTGATATATACGGCTGGCTCTACCAACTATGTATATATAAATTACACAAAAGATTGTCAACCATCCCTCCAACCTACTACACCTTACCTTGTGACAGATTACACTATACATGATAGCATATTACAATTTTATAATAATAACTTGGCTGACTTGAACTTAAACAATTACAAAAACAAAATGGCAACAAAAGTGACAACATTAAATCTTTAAATCATCAACACCAGGAGGTAGAGAAAGAGGGAAAGGTGGATACAGATTGCAAATTGGAGTTGCTTGTGGTGTAACTGGTTTTTTTTCCCTGTTTTTAAGTAGGGTACACAAATTCTTTACCCAACTTTAGTGTAATATGTGATACTTAACCCATTAGTCAATACATCCATTCCATTGGCATAAAGTAACAAATTATGATATTTAAACCATTAGTCACGACATCCACTTCTGTTAGCATAAAATAAAGAATTATGATATTTTTGATAACTATTTAAACAAAATTCCTTTTTTTTTTTTCTCAAACTTATTTTCTACAACACTTTCTTACAATTAAATATCTTGCTTGTAAATTTGAAAAAATTTCCTAATTTTTAATCACGTATTCTAGAAAAATTCACTATCGTAACTCATTTTTCCCAAACATACTAATTTTAATAGTTGTCAAATAGGGACTTAAACCATCAGTCACTACATCCAATTCTGTTAGCATGAAGAATTATGACACTTAACCATTAGTCAATACATCCACTTCCTTTAGGATAAAGTAAAGTATTATGATACTTAAATAGTCTCTACATTCACTTCCATTAGCATAAAGTAATCAATTACTTTACTCAAACCATTTATCACTACATCCACTTTCGTCAGCATAAATTAAAGAATTATGATTACATCCACTTTCCTTAACATAAAGTAAAGAATTAAGATACTTAAATCATTAGTTACTACATCCACTTTCATTAGCATAAAGTAACGAATTTGATGACATTGCACGCGAAGATTTTAACAATGTCCATTTTATGGGGGTGTATTTAATTTGGACTTTTAAAGATTTTTTCGAGGGATTTAATAAGTTTTAGAATATTCATTGTGGATTATTTGAAACTCTCTAAAAATCTAATTTCAATTATAACTTTTTAGAAATCTCTATAAATTTTATTGTATTCAAAAATCAATGACTTTTAGAGATTTCTATAAAAGTTTCTGCAGTACTAATTTTTAAGAAAAAGGTACAAAAATAAAATCTCAAACTTTTTTTATTTTTCATTCAAGATTTTGGGAAACTTTCACAAATAATTTTTTTTAATATTTATTTTTTGTTCTTTAATATTTCTCTTTACTTTTACATTCTACCAAACTTAGAGCCTTCCTTAAAAAAATATTATTTTTCTTCTAGTAATTATATTTATTTCCTTTTTCAATTTCTTTTGCCTTTATTATTTCTCTCGATTTTCTACAAAGAAGATTAAATTGTAGATAAAAATCAAAACATTTTTCTTTTTTTTTCCCAATTTTTTATGAAAAATATAAAATTTATGATTGAATTTATAAAATTTTATTAAAAATAATAATAATTCGTGATAATGTTTAAATATATTGATTGGATATTTACTTTTTGAAGGTATGCCATAATGATAATATTGAGCATTAATTTTATATTTTTTTGTCAAGGTACTAATATTTTATATATTTCTGCTTTTTGATTATTTATTTATCCAATTAATGTGACTTGAATTTATGTTCTTTTAAAAATATGTTTTAACCTCCACTTCCTATGTGAGAACTTCCACTTTTGCAATATAGCCACGTAAATTCTATTTTAAATGAAAGTTTTCGAAAATCTTATGAATTCTATAAAAAATTTAAAATAAAATTCTATTAAAGTCTACAAAATATTATAATTAAGTCCTTACAAATTTATAAAAGTCCAAGAATTAGGGCTGGACATAGTCCGGTTCGATTCTCTTTATTTACTAAGTAGAATCGTCGAACCCAAATTTAATTATGGAATCGTTCGGGTTCGGTTTCATTCGGTTTGGCCCTCGGGTTCTGTTCTATAATAAAAAATTAATTTAACTAATAACATGTTCAATGTTTACTATTACAAAATTAAACAGTCCAATCTTATGTATTTTTTGTATCGTTTTTTGCTGAGTTCTTCATAAATTTGATTGTTAAAATCACGGGAAGAGAAAAATAGCGAGCTCACAATAATTAAGAGAAACACATTTGAGCATCTTCTCAATTTTCTCAAGAACGATAGAAACGACACTATAGTAGAATAACAGATTCAAGTAAAATTTAGGTCAATTTGATTAAGTTGGGCTTGAATTGAATATTAGAAATAGGGAAATTATATTTTTGGGTTTGAGCTAAAATAATTAGCTAGCAAATTTATATAGAAAAAATAAAATAATGTTTAACTTATTTAAAATAAATAAATCAAAAAATAATTGAGAAATTCGGCTCTTATTCAATTCTTTGGTTCTTTATCTAGAATCGAGAACTGAACGAAACCCATTGGTTCTCGATTCAGATACTCATTCGGGTATATAACTTAAAACTAACCCTTCGATTTCATTCAATTTTGACAGGATTCAGTTCGATTCGAGAGTTTTGTCCAGTTTTGAACAAAATTGTGGAATGGGATATAAACACTAACTATTTGATTATGCTGTAAAATGATTTAATTAATTAATTTCTAACTAAAAATTGTGTCAATACCAATTTTTTTTTAAAAAAGTTGAGAGGTTATGCATTTGAGAGCCTTCTTAATGATTAGTAGTCGCAATTTAATTAAAAAAAAATAGACTTTTCCTATGAATTAATGGTAACAATGCTAAGTGAAAGTAAATTACAGGATGACTGTAATAAATAGAATTAATTACTCAAAAATTATGAAATATTCTATGGAAATGTATATTGAATCAAATTTGTAAGGGTTAAAAATTCTAAAAATATGACAAGTCAGAATTTGGGAGAATCTAATTTTAGATTTTGATTATTTTTCTATTATCTAATGTTTAAGTCAATAAAAAAATGCAAATTTCAATAAACACCAATTGATTTTCAGACTCACGACTCGTATTTAAATTCTTTGCAAGTGAAAAAATGTGGCATTAGAATTTTTGCTTCCTCAAAACCAATATTCACACACTATATAATTGTAACAATAAGGAGAAAAATTTTGTTTATTTGTTAATGATTTCATAAAGAAAAAGTATACAAAATTCAAGTTGAGCAAACAATGAAAAATTTCGTACTGAATTGGATAACTGGATGCAAATAAATTTGGCTAAAAAGTAGAGTATTTGTAGAAAATAAATTCAAAGCCAATTATCCAATATAATAAATTTTTCAAATAATTCACACTACCAAAAAGTTATTCATAAACAAAAAAGTAAAAATAAAAAATTTATCGATTGGTCGTTGTACCCTAAAAAAAAGGTTGGCTGTCATTCCGATCGAAGGAGACCACATTTGAGTTTTCTATCATCATAAAAATAATATAGGTTTGAATAATAAACCGATAACTAGTTACTAACATATTACACATCAGCAATAACATAGAGAAATGGGAAAGAAAATAATTTATAAACACATACTCACGATGTGATGAGTGATGGATTATGGATGACGAATTCATAATTGAGACTAGAAGGCAAGGGAGTTCTCTTATTGTTTTTTCACATATTTTCGTCCTTTGTTCTAAAACCCTTATTGAAGAATATCATTCAAAGCAAAATATTTATTTTATGGATATTGAAATATTCTATAATTATGTATTTGACTAATAAAAGATTTAAAGATTGCAATTATGGATTGAATTTATTATTTTCAATTGAATTTTTTAGGAGTGAAATATTATTTTTAATATTTAATATTAGGTTTAAAAAAATTTAATTGTAATGAAATTATTTTTATAAATTCTGTATATTAATAATAATCAACTTAATAAAATATGCCATTTCAACTTAATTATATATATGTAATATTATTATAATTTCTTTTAACTGCATATAGTAATGCTTTTATTAATTGTGTACTAATAATTAATAATATTTGTTTTTAGTGGAAATTAATTGACTTAATTTTTGAAAGAAATAATAATTATTAATCATCTTATTTAGAGGAGTTAAGGGTATTGTTCACCATAAAAATAAAAATGTAAAAGTAAAACACAAAATCAAATGTTTATCACTTATTCACTCTTGGGTTATTGAAAAATGACTTTTTGTCTCGTAATTTATCAAATTAATGTAAATTAATGGTGATTATAGAGTTGATGCTTATTAGAAAATGACTTTATAGCTAATACTTATCAAGTGAATGTTAGTTATCAAATTTTTTAACTATATATATATATACACACACCGATAATTAGTAATTACTAATAATAATGTTTAGTGGAAATTAACTGACTTAATTTTGGAAAATAAATAATATTAGTTTTAATAATAATTGTATTTAGTTGAAATAAATTTAATTTTAAGGGTATTATTGACCATGACCATAAAAATGTAAGGGTAAAATGGACAATTGAAGAATATAAGGATAAATGGGGGTATATTGGACCAATACCTAAACATATAAGGGTAAAATTGGTAATCAAAAGTTTCTCCTCAATCCTTCTTTTTTATATATTGTAGATAAAATTCTATATATCTTTATAATGTATAAAATAGTGTTATTACGTATAAAAAGGAACAATATACAAGGTAGTGAATTATGCGCAGAATCACAAGAGACAGGACTTTCAAACGCTTTCCTTAAATTATAAGTAATAGACAACATTGTATTGTTTTCTCATGGGCTGATATTTTTGTATTTATACATTCTCGATCCCCCAACGCACAAAAGCTCTAATACAACTAAGTGCAT